TAAGACTATTCAAGATTCAATTCATCATATCCTCTAAAATAACAAGAGTACATGGGTACTTATAGGAGAAAACTAAATCTAATTATAATCTAACTAGATCTCCTAAACTGTGCAGTAAATAAATCCTATTCCAACTAAATCTCTAATTAAAGTAATTAAATATTAAGTAACCTAAACAATCTAGATATTATTGTGCAAGAAGGAAACTAAATATACTAGAGTCCTAATTGACTAGATTATCTTGATCTTGCTTGGCTTGCACTCCAAACAATTTCAAATTCACGCCCCTAGTATTTGGCCGCCATATCTCGACCGCCTTATGCGCGCGAGTCGCGTGCCTCACGCGTGCGCCCATTGCACTCGCACTCCTCGTCGGCGTAGGTCTCTTGCACGCCCGCCTCATCGCACGCGCGTCCATGCGTGTGCCCAATCCTCGCCCGAGTTCCTCGCGCGCGTGCGCGCTGCCAACCTCGCCTATGCCTATCGCGCCCAGGCATGCGCCCGTCCACTCGCGCGCTACCCCGTTCTTAGCCGATTCCTTCACGTTCGCACCCGCGTGGGCTCACCATTCCTTTGCCTACTGGGACGTGGATTCCCTTTGCCCGCTCAGCGCCCCGTCCGTCATCACGCACACTGCGCACGCCCATCGCCCATGCACGCCCGTGTACGTCCCCGTGTGCTTGGTCGCGTGCTATTCCTTGTCTCACGAGACTTCTCAAACCTTCTCATGCATGTGTCTCATATCGGGTGTCATCTAGTCCTCGTCGTCGACCTGCAGAATTTCCAGGTCTCGGCCATGCGCGTCTTGACCCCGTGCGATAAGCCCGAGGCCATGCGTGTGTCCACTGCTCACGTCGCCTTCCTTGTGAACGTCGCATACGGGCTCGTACCCGTCTTTTAAGCCATGCATGCGTGGTTTTGGCCCTTTTCTCGGCCTTCTCGGATCGTCTCGACCATTGGCTCTCAGCGTGCTCGGGCCTCGAAAGCCACTTCCGCATCAGCGCGTGATGAAGATCGCGTGTCTCGACTGTCGACAAGCCGCTCCCGCGCCTTAAATCGCTCGATAGGTGTTAGGAAGTCGCACACTCGCAGCCTTTCTAACGAATATAAT